TTAGAGACAGTTTGAAGATGCGAACGTTAATTGCTCTTCGGGGTGAATTTTTAATCTCGAACTTCTCGTCGCGTCTGAAAGATTGCGGGTTCGCTTTGCCACGGCGCAATGCAGCCGGGAAATTTAGTCACGCGGCCGACAGTTTTCCCCCGCGGCCTTTATAATAAAGCTTAATCTCCGTTCTACGGCGTTTTAATGAACGCGCGCCGCCTCAAAGCGTTTATGAACGTGTATGGAAATTTTTTTAAATCTGCTTGTTTGGCGTGCACGACGTCGCGTCGCAATTTCTGGCGGGGGGAGCGCGGATTAACACTTATTAAAAACATAAATTATGCGCATTAACGAAGGTTGAAGGAGCGCGACACTTTCCGTGCTTTTAACTGCGCTAAACGCGGAGGAGTACGCGCGGAATGGGAGAATCTTCATCAATTTTTCCGAGAGCCACCGCCAACTTTTCCCCACGTGATACCCCGGTTCCTGTCCCTCTAATTTTCCCCGATACAGCACTCCCGGCGGAAGAAACGCTCGACGCAAAGCGGAATTTGGCGGCGCAGCGACGACCAGGAGAGAAGTTATTATAATCGAACGCGGGTTCCTGAGAAGACTTTTAATGGAGTCACGCGTTGTCGTCTGCTTTGGAACTTTGAGTGCCTCTCACGAAGTCTTTCTTGCAGATTGCGACATGACGAGAATAACGAAAATTACGAAGTAATCTGAACGCGCGGCGGCTGGCCTGAGACAAGCCAACGGCGCAGTCGAGAACTCGACTTCTCGCGCGAAGTCGCAGCCAGCGATGGCTCTGATATGCTTGCGCGAAGTCACGAACTAGCGATGGCTCGGACACCTTTCCGTGTAACGTGCTTGTTTATGCGCGAGATACACCGGAACTTTCGCGACGTCGACGGTAAAAGAAGGGAATTGGTCCCTTTGACCAATTCGGAGGAGGAAATTTTCTTTAAGGATGTTTCACCCCATAACTCGAAGTGATGAAAAAATTATGAAAAAGTTGGAAATTGATCTGCACTTAAAGGAGGAGGCACACCGAAAGTTTGACGGTGATTCAATGGATGGATCAAAAGTTATTCCACTTTGAAGGGGAGACTGTATGGTGAAATTATTTTCATAAGAATTCAGTCGTAACCTTTTGCGACAACTTTGATTACTAAGATACGCGCGCATGACGTTTTTAATCTTCGATACTGCGGCCATTTGAGGAAAGAAAAGTCCTTCGAAAGTGTCCAGTGCAGACTCCCTCTCGCGGTTACTAATACATCGCGGCTCGATCTTGCGACTCTTTCCATCGGAAATAAAAGTGGTGAATCAATCCGGCTGAGGCTGCGGATTCGAGGGAATTCTTGGCCGGAATTCCGAAAGCCGGGCGGCGTAAACCCTCGAAAATCCGGTTAAGATCGAGACCAGCGTCCAGCGAAGCTCGATATAAATCAGCCGGGGCCCGGCGCGAGTCTCGCAGCGCCGGATACTGCGCCCTCGTCTTCCACCCGATATCTTTCGTGTCCATCTCTTTCTCCCGTCCGCCGCCCCTCCTGTTTCCCCGGACACGTAATTACGAGCCTTAGGTGGAGAACTTCCGAGTCCGGGCTCTTGCATTCTCGTGACTGCCGACCTCGTATCCGCAAAAAGAGCGCGCGCAATGAAAGAGAAACGTTTAAGGTAGGAAAAAGCTTCCGGCTGCTTAGAGCAGGATTCTCTTGCGGATGGTTGCCTGCGAAAGCACGGAGGAACGGGGCGAGAAGGGACGGCGGCGAAAGGGGTTATGGTTCCCCGAAGGCTCGGAAAGTAAAGGATTGGCGCACGAAAAACTCCCGATGCCGCGATTTGAAGTATTTTTTACTCGCGGGAATATCGCTTTATCGATCGTGTATTAAAGGGAGACATTAGTACGCCCAGTTTCCAATTGGAAACTCGAAACTCGACGTCAGACCGGAAGAAACCAAATGAAGGGAATAAAACGAAAAACGCGAAATTGTCCATCGCTTCAAACGGTGCTTCAATCATCCCAATAGGAGAAAGTAAGCAAAAACGTTCAGGTTTCGTGAAGGCGGATTAAGAATCTCCCCGTTACGGAAAGAATCCTAAATAGTAATCAGCGAATTACAGAGGCGAACTGTTCGTTCGCGGCCATCGATTTGAGAGTGCAAACTCGGTCTGAACGCAGTCTGAAAATGTTTACAGGTCGACGGAGGAGGGATTCGCAGCCGGGGATCTTTTTCCTCGCAGTCGCGGGGCCAATGCGAAGCTGCACGGCTGGCGGTGCAAACAGGACGAGAATAATCGTCTTCGCAAACAGGATAGGGGAGGAGGGGAGATGCAGCTTCTCACCCTCGGCCCGAAACAATCGCAACTATGCCCCAACAATTTATAATTCTCTCGCGCCGCCTGTCCCCCTGCCACGCCCGTCGGTGGGATCGCGCGGGGGGCCGCTGCACAGTTAAATGTTATTACTTTAGCAGATAATTTCCCTCGTTTGTTCCCCCCCTAGGTGAATACCTCGTCGCTCCTCCTCGCGAGGGGCGAAGTCGTCAACTGGCGTTCGCGCGTAAGCCGCCGGCGCTCCTACAAATAATGCCGGCTTTGCGCGAAGCCAGTAAGCGAGTCAGGTAGTGGCAAGTTACTTCCTCATCTTCCTCGGCGGACGAGTATCTCCGTCATTTCAGTCACCGAGTTCTAATTCGTGTAAAATGTGCGCGCGTGTCGTGCGTGCGACGTGTCAATTTTAAACACCGTTATCCCCTATCAAGTAAGACGCGCGAACTGCGCCGCACTTGTGAAATTCACCCCGCCCGCCTCCTCCGCAAAAACCGTTCGTGACGCGAACGGTCGCCTACGTGGGAAAAACTCACCGACCAGACGATCACGTCGAGACCGTTCTCGCTCGCGATTACCTCGGTGAGGGAGATCGCAACACTTTTAGCTCGACGAAGCACCCGCTGGAGAGGGAAATTTCTCTTCCAAATATTACCGAAACACGCCGCAGCGAATTATTCCATCCGTCGGGCGCGCGGATGCGTTGCGGGGCTTATCGGAGGGGAGAAAAACCCTCGTGATCTCCTCGCCGCCGGTTACATTTATTCGCGCATTTCGTCGTGTGCGAGAAAATCGACCGGTGGCTATCGCTTGATACTCGTGGGGGACTCGGCGCGTTTAATAATTCTCAGCCGAGGAAACCGTTTCCATCAGCCGGCTGCAGGCTGGTCCGGTGGTCCTCCGATTTTGTTTCTTCCCCCGCATTTTTCTTCCTCTCCCTTTCTCAACCTCTCCTCCGAACTGCGTGTATCGTGGCGACTGCTGGCCTTCGCTCCTCTTTCCCTCACGCGGTAAGCACTCCCGGTAATGCGCTTCTTGGTGCATTAACCCCGGCGGGCAGCACGCGCACACGTATGTCACCTTTTGTGCCCGCCACACGAACGCAGCCGGGTTTCGCGCAAGCCGCCCTCCGTACACACACACACACACATACACATCGTGGAGAGATGCAAGCATGCTTCCTTCCTACCCCTCCTCGCGCTCCTCCCGCCTCACAGGCAGTTCCTTATGCAACTGTTAATCGTCCTGCGTACGCGGCTCCCTCGCTAATTATGTCGCGGCCCTCAAATCGGCGATCGAAGTCGCAATCACTGATAACTAGCTTTACGGTGTCACTTGGAATGGTGCCTCGATGAAATTGACAGTTAACTTCTCCGTGTCTTCATTTCATTCTCATAACGTTCGAAAGTCCGTAGTTTCTCGCTCGCTATTTAGAAAGGATTCTCTCTCTCGGATGCGAGCGCGAGAAGTGTCGAAGTAAGTGCAGGGACAGGCGGCAGGCGGAAACCTTGAAGAACGAGAGAAGAACGTGAAACGAAAGCGGATGTCGCGGCCGAAGGGGACGAAATCGCTAAAAGGAATGCGCAGTCGAGCGAAAGAGGCCTCAAGGGGTTGGCAGAGGGGGTTGGTCGGCCAGTTGAAATAATGTAGAGAAAGCTCGAAAAAGCTCCGCCAGGAATCCAGGAAGGTACCCACGACCCCATTTTGTTTCGCCTCTCCCTCCTTCTCTCTTTCTCTTTCTTCCGAAGGAAGACGATTTTCCGCGACTTATTTTTTACGCTTTTAATATAAAATAACCTTTGACTCGGGCTTTGAATTACTGTTAAACTTTTAGTATCATTTTCAAACGCAATACAGATAAATTTGTAATTTTTTTCATAAATGTTTCTATTTTTTAAGTTATAAACAATACATCATTAAGTCCACTCAAAAGAAATCGCGTCATCTCATTGTCGACTTTTTTTCCGTGACATCGTCTGGCTAGTTCAATTTCAGTGCGAACGTGTATATATTTAAGAATATATACACCCTAGTATCCTAGGAACAAACGATTTTTTTTTTATCTATGAAAACTTCGCTTCGGAGTTCCGAGAGGTGCGCTTTCACGGGCTGCGGAGTCCATCGTTTTTTTCCCCCCTCGCTCAGCTGCAATTCTAATTTTACATTGACAAGGTCAATTTAACGCCGCGACTCAAATTGCCGCTTTGATATCGGGCACACAGTGGGCACGAGAGATAAAACGGCCGCTTGCTTCCGCGTGCGGTGGACGAAGTGAGCAATAAAAAAAACGCTCACCACGTTCTATTAATAAAACAGAGAGCGATAAGTAGGGACACGTTGGTATGACAAAAACGGGGAATAATCTCGTACGTTTTATCGCTTTGTTAATCATTTTTACCAATAAAATAGTAACTGCACATTTTTTTCGTTGTTACTCGCTGGATCTCATCCGTACCGGCCGAGCCGATATAACTTAATCCACGTGCGTCACGTGTTCCGCACGTGTGTCATCATTTCGCCGAGAAGACACGCTTAATTTTGTCCGCCAATTGCCGGGAATTCCGTGACTTCTGACGAGGAAAAAACGTGCGGTAAATGCACACACACACACGCGTGAACATGTGTGTGTACCAACATCGACGTCATAATTCTTATCACAATCTCGACAGTTTTGCCTTACACCGCATATCGTTTGTACGTACAGCTCTTTCGTCGCGTATCGATAAACGGTTAAACGACATTCGCGCTTGCAGAAGATATATTCGCGATTTATTATCCGCGACGTCGCCGCCAAATATTATTAATAATCCCGATCGATCACGCGCGAGAGGGTGATTTCACGGTTTTTCTCGTTTTTCCCTCCCTCGTCAGAGTGAAGGATAACCCGCTTGAAGATGAGGCGATTCCGCGCGATTAATCTGATCGCGTCTTGCGCGCTCGTTCTGCTTGCCAATTACGGTGACGCGAGCTCATCGGTGGTCCAGGATGCCCTGAAGAAGTACCTGCCGGTTGTTTTGCGCAACCCGTTGAAGGAACTCAAAACCATCCCGCACGGAATCGTTCCTGGTAATTTCTATTCATTTCTGTGTGCGTGTGTATTCTCTCTCAAGTGTAATCGGTGTGTCAGTGTAATCGCTGAGTGTTACCACTAAAACTTAATTAATACTTACTGATTATTACTATAATACAGTCTCACTGATTCGCTCAGCCGACATTTTCACTGATTCCACTTAAGAGAGAGCGGAATATAATATTCCCGGCGGCTAAATCTGTTTCCTCGCGACATTCAGGCACACTATGGTGCGGGCCGGGACATATCGCTGGTAATTATTCCGATTTGGGCCGGAATCGGGAGTTGGACGTATGTTGCAGGGAGCACGACTTCTGCAACGACTACATAAGACCTCGAAGTACCAAGTACGGGTTGTACAACAGCGCCCGATTCTGCCGAAGGTATCCGTCCGCGATACATCTATCGATCACACAATCACGACCCGAGTCGAATGTGCGAACGCATTGGCCGTTTTCTTTTACAGTTCGTTGTGCGAGTGCGACCGGCGGTTTTACGATTGTCTGAAAAAAGCGCCCGGCTTCTTCGCGTTCACCGTTGGGAAGATCTACTTCAAGCAGTGCAGGAAATGCTTCGACACGTACTACGACATCGGGACGTGCATGCAGAGGTGAGTGCGATGTGTGCGGAGGCTAAATTCGCGGTCTCCTATCGAGGAATAGCGGCTCGAAGTCGAGCTAATGTATATTGTCTGAGTTTCTCGGGGTTAAACGAATGAGAATTTGCTCCAAGAAATTCAAAGAGTCCACGTATGTATATCACAATGAGTCCGGACGTGTGACGAAATTCGGAAGTGTCGGTCATTTCGCGCGCCGTAACATCCGCTTGATTAAAACTCCATTGACGAAGCGCATTATGTTCGTTTAATTACCATCGATCAATTAACGTGGGAGCGCGAGCGGTGAAAGTGAGCGAACGTCGGAATTGCGTCGGAATTACTTTGACGTCGGTTGATTCTCGCGTCAGTCGTTAATTCATCATGTCGTTCATTAGGGGTCTCGTCGTGAGCGAAGAACAGGGCCGCGATGGCCGGCGCGTTTTTTGCGCGCAGTTCGACCGAAATCCAAAGTGGAAGCAGCAGGGCACCGGCGCTTCGTCGGAATCGACTCGCACCCCCGCATTTCCAAGCCGGATAAATGCCGAGCCCGCACGAACTATGCCGCAGTTTAATCCCGTGGACAACGATCGGCCGAAGGACTATGAAAACTATGACGATGAAGATGAAAGTGCCGAGAACACCGATCTGAACATGTTGAACATATTCTGAAGCGGAACAGCAAAGATCTCGGTACGACTGCGGCTCCCTCGACATTATCACCGGCATCCGTGAAAGAAACGAATCTTTTGTCAAGAATTTGACGGAAGATTTCACTCGCTGAATTAGCCCAATAAACGCCATACTCAGACGTTGCTCATGATGATCGTCTCTAATTGTCCTCGCTTGATTAAGGCCAGCGAAACTTCGCACTTCGCGAGAGGTCCCGACGGCTTCATGCGAAATAGCCGGGTGCCGATCACGGATTCCCCGCGTCTTGGGGCGATGCGCGAAAAAAGCCTTTCGCTGTTTCCCTCGTCTAACAAGCCGGGGCGTGCTTTTAACGCGAGTGCCCGCTCTGTTTCGACTTAATGCAGAATTACGCGGAGAAAAGCGAGGGGCCATCTCGGCTCACCGGCGGAACCGCACGTGTCTAAACGCTCGCGGCACCGGCGTGCACTCCTGCCCCCTCGAGTACGATTCCGAAGTCCGCTCCGAAATTGCCTCGATACGGCAGTCGGTCCGTGAGGGCGGAGGAACGTTTCTTGAAAATCCGCCGAGAATTTTATCGCGAGGCCGTAGACACGCGAGCGAACAGGCGAGAGTCTTTCTCCGTCGGCCTCTCTATCTTCCTCGTCAGCGGGGAAGGGAGGAAAGACTCTCTACGGCCGCTCCTCGCCGACTCGCCTCCCCTTTCTCACTCTTCTTCTCTCACGCGGAAAGAATGTTCAATTATGCAAAAGTGCACGCCGGAGTTTCGCCGGTGGCGCCGGTCGGTCCTGAATTAATATTGGCCGGCGGATAGCGCGCGAGAATCGCGAATCGGCGCGTTATTGGGAATTATCTCTCGTAGTTCATCCCTCTTGTAGCTTACTGTTTAGCGGGCGCATTCATTGAAGCCACCCGCGCGGTTTCGCGAGCTCTCTCGTCGTTATCGGTGAAAAAGTCCGCGGGAACCGAGGGGATGAAGCTCGGAGGATAAAATAATCTCGAAATCTGCGGTATCGCCAAGTAAGTCTGACGCACCGCTGCTTTTCCACCGTGTAAACAGCGGATCGCGCGCGCGAGATGTAAGGTTTGATCTTTTTTAATCCGTTTCTCTCACGTCGTTGCATCGTTTATGCATAAAGCAAGTCGAGAGAGCGAGTTCGATCGCACACGGTTGGAAGTACGACGGTAAAGTCGGGCGCATAGATCCCCGCCTTCCACCGAGTGCCGGCCGAGAAGTCGAGCTTTTTTTTCCGAAAATTCATTTCTGCAGTTTCGTTTGCGACAATTTTATTTACGACGTTACGCGAGCTACTCGCACAAGCGAGCTTCTTTCATTACGCGACGCGCTTTTTATCTTTCTCGGGGCGCTATTAAAAGGCCTTTAGAAATACCGCCGCGACTCGAAGCTCGCTCGTTTGAAACCTCCCTCAAGTACCTCGTATTATAAAATCCTCTTGAAGAAAATGGCGATTGCTAATAAAAAATGTACGAGAAATTCTCCGCTCCTCGGCTCGCCACGGAGCGGGAGACAGGGAAGCGCCTAATATTTCGTACGGTTTTCGCCGTAGTTTGCATGGGATTTTTAATTGGGGCTTCATTAAGTTGAATTAAAACGGCAATGCCAGCAGAATTTTAATTGGAATCTTTTAAGGCCTCCTCTCGGTCCTTTTCTTTTTCATTCGTAGGGAACGCAGTCTTGAATTGAAGATTGCATCATTACACACTCACGTACTGTGTGATCCTATTCTGACATAGATCTTTCATCGATCAACTGATTCTTGGCAACCGTGAATTCATTGAGGAAAATGAAAATAAGTCCGAGATATGAGAGATAAAAATATATTTTGATTACGGTCGTTAATGTGTTTATATGTGGATATATTATATGTACCAAAAATAGTATATCAACAGTGTACGCGATATATCTTGTAAATATATCTTACAAAATCGCAATATATCTTGTAAAAATCGGGATACAAAGGAATCTCCGTGAGAAGGACTTTTCCTGAGATTACATCATGACACTCACGTACAGTGTGATCCTTTTCTGATCTAGATCTTTCATCGATCAACTGATTCTGGAGAATCGAAAATTCGCAAGGGAAGTGAAAAATAAATCCAAGATATGAGAGAAAAATCGACTTCGATCGCGATTGAAAATATGTTTATGCGTAGGTACGTTGTATGTACGAAAAATTACATATAATCAAGAGTACGCGCGATATATCCTGCAAAATTGGGACACAAGGGAATATTCGTGAGAAAGACCTTTCCTGAGAAAGACCTTCCCGCTCGACTGCCGTGGAAGAGAGGGCGTCGTCCACATAACGCCGCTATTCCCTCATATATGCGGCGCTACCCTTCATCGACGTCGGCGACAAAACCGTGGGTGGTTTTTATTAAAATGTTGAATCCTTTTCCCCCACTCTCTCTCTCTCTCTCTCTCTCTCTCTCTTTCTCTCTCTCTCTCTCTCTCTCGCCACTGAAGAAATCAATTCGACTTCTCCGCGATATTACCGGCCTTTTCTCACTCCCGCCCGCCGCTCTCCGCGCACCCCTCACTCGAATTTCGATTTCGTTCGAATCACGCGCGCATATCGACTTACCTGTCGGATTATCCAGCGAGAAAAAGGGAGGAAGGGCTCGAGAGCCGAGAGGGGAGGGCTAAATATACGGGGGCTGAGGCGACGACCTGAAAGGGTTGGAAATGGGAAGGCATCGCGTTTCTGACGACGCGTTTAGGTCGCTGCGATTTCGGCGATAATCCGGCGAGATCCCGGTAACCGCGAGGGGTGGATCGATCATTTCCACCTTTCGCACCGCGAACGAGGAATCGAGTCGACTCGTCGGAAAAGCGAAAGCGAGGATCGGCGGTTCCCATCCTGCCAAAATTATATGACGAATAATTCAGCTCATTGTCGCTTCGCGCATATACACACAGGGGGTGTAACTAACGTCCCTTCGGGGGCCTTCGAATTTCCTCGATGAATCCTCTTCACAGAATTACCACCGGCTTCTCGGCTATTCGCATCTCCGGGGTGCGTACTGAACGCGGCAAACGAAAAGGTCGAAGGTCAGGTGGAAGAACGCGGCGGGAGAGAGTAGTTTTCCGCGCGTCTCCGAGCGGGCAGGCGCCCCCGCCGAGACAGAAGTGGTTCGTTCTCCGGTCACGTTAGGCTGGTTGACTCTCTCGGCAGTGTATCAAGTACACTTTCGCCAGCTAGAAGCCAACAATGCGATCCTCCATCTCCTCGACACGAATCGCGCGACTCGCGTGATTTAAACGGCGCGCCCCGGTAGATCACGTGGGTTTTCACAATAGCGGGATCCACGCCGGCCGGACAATGGATACGGATCGAGAGTCCACTTCTGATCCTCGCCCGACCGTTTATACGACGCGATGGAGCGCGAAGAATGACGGTACGACATGCGAGGCGAAAGGAGCGCCGAGAGACCGACGGGAAAGAGGAGCTTCCTCTCGCTCACACGCGAGTCCTTCTGCTCGAGTGCTGGCTTTCGGAGTTTTAGGAGCTGCCGAGATGTACGCACTCTGCTGTTCCAGCAGAATTCGTCTGGATATTCAACTCGTTATCTGTTATTAGCTTAGAGAAATTAGCGAATCATTATTTTGCCGCCCTTTCCCCTGCCATGTCTCGGTCTGACAGTCTTGCTGGGATGACGATCGTGACAAACGTGAGAGATTGTATTCGATGTTACCACGGAATTTCTACATAAATCATTAGAAAAGTTTGAAGAGTTATTTACCGCTTAAGAGGAAGAGTCCGCAGGCCACGAGGGTCCTATGATCCGAATTACAGTGGCCGATTAATGCTGACACTGTCGCTGCGAGGATCAGGATCGCGGCGACCACTTGGAACGGCGCGGAGATGCTGAAACAACAAGGACACGCTTCATATAGCTGTTAGGTGTGAAAAAGCAGACGCTGCCGCCTTTGTAACCTCAACCTCGACGCCGCACATTTCAAGCGCATTGTTATTTTTAAATATTCCTCTACTACGCCTTTCTCGGAGGAGAGAGAGAGAGAGAGAGAGAGAGAGAAAGAGAGAGAGAGAGGCGATTCTCTCCTTCTCCTCCCGTCATCGTGCGACGCCACCCTGCGAATCGATAGCAATTTATAGTAGCCTTATTAGGGTGGTGAAGTGTGACTTCACGTCTCACTATTCTCGCGCGAGCGTTAAACGACGAATAAAAATCGCGACGCAGGGAGGATCGATTGCGGAAACGATGAGGAAATAGCGGTGGCTGAAAATCTCCCCCTCTCTCTCTCTCTCCCTCTCTCTCGGACATCGCGAAAATAGCGCTATCTAAATATTATGACCTATTTATTTCGTTTAACTTCTGGCCGCGCGATGCGCGCGAAGTCCGCGTAAAACAGCGCGCGCGTATTGACGCAGCTTTTTAATTTATTAAACGCAAGCTCCGGAAGAACTTCCCTTCGGGATCGGATCGATACGCGTCCGTCTCGTTGTTATTACTGAGAAATTCTCCCGTTTCACGGCAGATTCGCCGGGAGGAAGAAGGGCTGAGAGGGGAGGATTCGTGTCTGCCTCGAAAGAGAGAAAATGGATGTCCGACTGGAACTTCTTCTTCGTGGGGAATGATGCAGGCACGCGGTGACGAATATCGAGCACGTTTCACACCTGGAAACTCGCTGATAGACAGCGCTTACACCGCCCCGCAACCCGCTCTCCTCTCCCCGTGAAACGTTTCATGAAATTCCTACCGCGTTACAGCCTCCCCCCCCCCGTCCTCCCCCCGACGAGTCCCGACGCAGTTACAAGCTCGCCTGTATCGTCGGAGGAACGCGAGTCGCGCTACATTGCGAAGGATTGTCGTTTGCAGGTGGAGGGCGGCTGCAGCCGCGGCGATGCGGCGGGGTGAGTTCCGAAGCCGCACTGTAATACACGTATTCGTAGCTATCGAGGTAAATGGGCCATGCCGGGTAACGGCGCGCACACCGGCCCGCCTATCGACCCTGCTCCGACGTTTAAGTCTTGATCTCGCGGCAATTTCATGGCGTGGCTCATCGCCCGTAGCTCACGCTACACTAAGGACCTGTATATTGACGATCGGGAACCTCGCGCTCGATTAGAACGCGGGTTCGGGGAACGTCTAACGATCAGAGAGACCTCGGCCCGGCAGCAAATTCGCGCGAGTCGCGAGTACTTATCTGACACAGTAGCGACTAACGGGGGATTAAAGATTCTTCGGACGGTAAAAAATGTCTTATTAAATTTAATATGTTTCACGTGGTTCGAAACGGTCTACTAAAATTTCTTCTTTTATCAATTAATTTGACACAGGGAGAATATGTTGAAACGTAACGCGACTATTGTGTGAAAAAGTTAACACAAAATCAGAATATTGGCCGACGCTAAAGTGGAAAATGTATTATTTTCACGCTTACGCATCGTGTACATCGACACAACGCAAAATGTTGAGATAACATAAAGGCAATTTATTAAATTAATACACGGATATGTTGAAAGTGTGACATAAGAATCTTAATAAGGGCCGATCCTAACATAAGTATAAAGTACGCTTTAGTGTCTACTTAATATTTTGGAAATTTTTCTCCCGAAAGGAGCTACCCTCCTTTTTGTATAAATTCGCTTTCGTCGATTCACGCGGGACACGGACATGCTCCCGGCTCCGGAAGCCGAGTCCGCTTTTGGGGCGGGGGAGGGCGCGAACGCGTCCGGTACTTAAGGTTCCGGGGTGGTGAAGCTCGAAAGTTTCGGTGTGTCGCATGCGACACACAAAGCAACTGCGCGGCGTCTCACGGTACCGCGCGGTAATTCCGTAGAATCGAATTATGCGGCGCGGTGGTCGCCACGGGAGATGGAAATTAATAGTTTCGGCCGGCGTGGAGGAAAAGCGCGCGCGTCGACGGAGGGAAGAGAGAGAGAGACGCCGGGCGTTGTTCACCGATGGGACCGGGTATGGATATTGGGCAGTGGGTTGGCAGGCTTGCCTAGTAATAAATCAGAGCCGTCCTGGCGGTAATATACTGCTCGGTCAGCCTGTTTAGCCGTAATAAAGCGCATCGCTCCCGAAAATCGAGCGGAATCGAGCGGAGAAGTCTCGCAAGATGTGGCTTTTTCTTTCACGACCAGACCTCGCGGCAGGATCGATAACGGCCTCTCTCTCTCCCTTTCTCTCGCGCTCGCCGAGAGCCGAGCCTCTCCGCGATGAATTTGAATTTCTCGCAGAGGAATGTCATACGGTAGACCACGAGAATCCGCGCAAATATGTATATATATGTGTGTGTGTGTACATGTATATATATGGGTGTTAAAAAATTGGACAAACTTTGGAGGGAAACCGAGGACTACGAAGTAAATATTTTCACAGTCGAGCCTTAATAGAGGAATTTGATTTTTCCAGTAAAGTTTACTTATGCCGTGTAAAAAGTACTGAAACGAAACGTCGTGGAGAGAAATAGTATTAACAGAAAATGTTTACTTCGAAGCCCGCCATTTTCTTTGAAAGTTTGTTGATCCAATTTTTTTAACGCCCCGCATGCATATATCGCTGACGGATCTTTGCACCATTAACCTTCCGCGCGTTGGGAAAAATATGCTTGGGAGTGCCTTCAATAACGGGCGTTATCGAATCTGTTCGGGAACTTGGGGGGAACTTTGGATATCGCTCGGTCGGTGGATCTGAAATTAAAATTTGGAAATTGGGAATTGCAAAACCAAAAGGTGGTCGCACGGCCGCGGGCTCGGGTATTCAATTAATCCGGAACTAATTTTTCAAAATATCAGTTTCAGCTGAAGTTATCGCGTTTCCAAAGTTTTGGTTCACAGAAGCGTTCGCACGCGTCGATAACACCTGCGGATAATTTGTTTTTCACGCGTGTATGCACCAACAACGGTCGAAAGATTATCAGGCTCCGGGGGGAGCTGTTTGAACTCTTGAACCCGGCGAATCCTGTCGCATCGATATAGTGGTTTCGTATTGGAGGCGGTCGGGATTCGTCCGAACGCGGTTAAGACGCGATTAAGTTTGTCTCGAAATACGCGAGGAAAAGTCGCCGGGACTTCCCAGGATCAGGACGTCGTCGTGCTGCCTCGAAGACGGAGTGGAGGAGAGTTTCTCCTCGAGTAGGCCGCCCCGGCGACAAATATCGTTTCCACCTCGATTCGATAGCAATCGAGAGAAAACAAACGCTCGCTCGAGGGGCCGAGGATGGATTATCCCGCCGATGGCCCAGCGATCCTTTTTTTTCCTCCTTCTCCTTCTCCACCCCTTTCTCACCCCTCCGGCCTTAAATCAACTTTTTTAGACGGCGCATTCCTCCCTTCTCCTGATAAATTATTAAAATATTTTTTTTAACGTTTAAACAGGTACTCGTACACTCCTCCGAAATCCCATCGAAGTGTAAATTTCTGATGGCGAAACGTTTCGTATCGAAATACCGTAACCGGCGTCATGCGAGATACTTGATTTTCACCGGTCGGGTACACGCGCGCGCGTACGAGTTACGCGAAAAATGTGCCTCGATATTACGGGTGTTACGAGAAATATTAAAATGCAGGTTACGTTTTTGCGTGGGCGAAAATGTTGCCGGACGCACTAGATGTCACGAGCATCATCCCCGCTATTAAATAAGCACTCCTCGAACGTAACGCGTTTCTGTGTGTGTCTTCGCGTTTCCATCGCGTGTCCCTCGTGTCATAAGAACGCCTGTCGCGCTACAAAGCTCCGCAAATTGAAGTCATCAACGTGATAATTCCAGATCACGAGTTGAATATGCGACATTACTCGGATCACCGGCGTTTATTCGATACGGACGGTAATCCGCAAAATTTTACACACGCGATCTCTGTAACTTCCTATTTACGAGCGGCGGACGCCGAATGTCGATTCCCACTCGAAGTCTCGCCTCGTTAACGCGCCGGCAGGTGCAGTTTCCCGCCTGCGAATATCCGACAGACGATGCGGAAAAATGCTCGTCTAACAACGGGGCGGGGGCATTTATGACGGATAATGCGCTTTACATGCGCCGACCGCAAGCATCCCTGCGTTTGCTTTGGACCAATTCGGACAATTTGACGTGCGGCCGGCTGGCGATGCGGCGCCATTGACCGGTTTCGGAGTGCTACCCCGGTGCGTAATGCCGCATAACCGTTCTGCATTACATACGGGCGCAGGCTTGGTATGCGAGTATGCATCCCCCGCGCCTGCCCGCGCCGTCATCCCCCCCCCCCCCCCTCCGACAGTACGGGATACGGGGGTGGAGGTGGCGTGTATTTCGCGGGGTGAATAGCCGGCACGGTATGTTTCTGGCTCGTCGCCAGGCCGGGGTAACTACCGGCGCTACCACATTAATAGAGTTTTATTGTTATTTATGACGACGCCCCCTGCTTTTATAATAACCCGCTGCGAATTAATCGCCACGCTCGATTTATTTTATTACGCGCTACTTTAAACCGCCACTCGTGCCATCCCGATTGCGATTCGCGCGAGCGGCCCGGCCGGCCCGAGTATCGGCGCGGAGCATTCGATATCGCGTGAAATCACGGCGATTGTTATTCGCACGGCGACACTTCGTTAACCTTCCTCCCCTTCCCTTCCGCCTCTCCCGCCGATGCGTTCATTTTTTCCGCGACATTAACAGGTTCGCGCGCGAATTTCGGGCTCGCACCCCTTCCGTTCCATCTCGAGCGTAGCTCATCCAACGCGCTGGTTTTTGCAGACGATGGGGTGCCGATGAGGGGGAAAGAGAGAAAGAGAGAGACGCGTTGTAATAACTTCAGTTTTCCAAATTGTTCATGCGATTGATAATTGAATTAGTGATTGTGTGTGTGTGTGTATATATGTTACAAATATATGTGACGTATCAACTAATATTACTTTGAAT